AACAACCAAAATGGTAGAAAATGGAAAACAATTTCATAATTCCATGGAATAGATGTGTTATCAAACACACCCTAAGTTTTACTACGTTTAAAGATGAGTGCGATTTTTGCACTTATCTTGGCTATCAAAAGTGAATGTATGGAGTACTTTTGATTGTAATTATATTTACTTTTGTTTAATGTTGTTTGTTTGAAGTTGAACGCAATGGTGGACGAAGAATGGAGCAACTAAGCAAAATCTACTAAAGAAGGGTTAAAAAGAACAACTTGAAAATGCTGGGGATTAAGGTGCCAGAACTTGGGGGATGAAGGACCAAATTGAAGATGGAAGATTAGTCAAGAGCTACAATCTCAAGGTTCAAAATCATGCTACCGTAGCTGCTTCAGGACAGAAGCAGCAAAGAAAATCAATGTACCATGCGACCGCATGGTAACTTGAATATGATTGAAGATTTCTTTTCTTTTTTATTTCGGCACTTTTTTTTTGGGAATCGAAGGAAACCTAGGAGGAGGGTATAACAGGGATCAGATGGCATACGTGGAAGGGACTTGGACGCAGTTAATACGGAAATTCCATTGACCTTCTTTGGTTCGAGAAGCCCGTGAATGACTTTCTAATCTTCTTTGTATTTTCCGCCATGATGAAGTGCTAAAATTCTACATGTTAGGATGAACGAAGTAGCCTAGATCGTTTTTATTTAATTAATTTAAGCACTTCATGTCAATAACTTTACTGTGTTAATTACAAAAATCGAATTTATGTTCGTTCGCACAAAGCTAGGGAATAAGTGAATTGATAGTTGATATCATAAGCTATGAGGAAACAACACTTGATCCTTGTTTGATAATCATTCTTTTCAACCACATATTTTTCAATAAAATAATATTACACGCAAACTTAAAATTTTTCTCTATTTTTCAACCACACATTCTCCATCAATCTACTATTCTAAAATGTATTCTTAAAAAAATATAGGGCTCAAACGGGATCGATATTTACTTTTAATTATACTTCACATCTGTGGTTTATGTGAACATTCAACATTAGCAATGCTGCTTTATTTATTTTACGAAGCAACTGCTGCTATAGGCATCGCCAACAAGCTTGAATTCACCTTAGCTTCATACACTTTAGTCTTCTCCCCGTCGACAGCCTCTAGGGTTATATAATATACATTTTCCCTGATACCTAATGTAGCCTTGGTCATTTTTGTTAGGATGAACAATGTAGCCTAGGTCTAGGTCATTTTTGTTAAATAAATTCAGGTACTTCATGTGAATACCGTTATTATGCTAATTATTTATTGTGTGCATAGGCGAACCCACATGGGGTCATGTGGGGTCAAGTGACCCCACAATTTTTTATTCTTTATTCAAAAAATTGTAGTCGTTTTTACGGGATGCCAAATGAAATCAAATAAAGTTGAAAATTTAATTCTTAATACTATTTCAAAGTGCTCTTGAATTAATTTTATCTTTAAATGGTGTCCAAAACAGCCAATCATAGCGAAAGTTATTGCACGTCCAAATAGGCAATTCCAAACTAGTATTTGAAGAATATCGATAATATGCTAAATCAAAAATTCGCCGACAATCTTACGCTAACCAAATCCACAAACCATCTACGTCATTTTGAAGCTTGTTTAGGGAACTACATTGTAGTCATATCGACTGGTCTAAATGAATATCGAAAATAGTTAAATGTAGTATCAAAAAGATGCGTCTAACTCGTTTTTTCTTTAAAAAATTCCAACTATTTCATTAACGTTTATTTTTTGCACGACAAATTTCTTAATATAATTTACATAATTTTATTATAAAATTTTAGATGGAGCATGATGTCAAAAGATTTAGGATCGTTACATATAAATATAATTTGAATTACTTTCGAATTACGTTTGCATTTCATTTACTTCCTAGATTAAATTTGATTTACTTGTCGTCAACTCAGTATCTTTCAATGAGATGGTAAACAAAACTATACAAGTAACAAAATTCATTTGACAATATTGATAATGATGTAATTATACGGCGTTTCAAAATTATCAAAATGCATAGGCTACAATAAAAATAGTTTATTGACTTATTTTTATTAATATTATGTTGTATTTTAAAAACAACTTGCGTTTTAATTTTTGGCCTCACAATATAGAAAGTCTGGGTTCGCCCGTAATTGTGTGCTAATCTAATTCAAATGTTTGATCACCAATTGGTTTATATAGGGACTGTATTGAGATCGAACCATAATATATATGTCTAGCCCGTACAATAGGGAACATAAACTTGGATATGAAATCGAGAAATACTCCTACATGTTATGCTACCTTTAAATCGAATTTCTTTGAATTAATGCAATGTTATGTGCTTACATAGAGATATAGTGAGTTTGCGCATCTAAGTAGGACTAATTTTGTTCAAGAGAGATTATTAGTCAATTTGAATAATTGGATTGTTTAAACTCGTAGGTAGGGCTATTGCATGTTAAACAAAATTAAGCATAAATTTACTTAAGTGAAATAAGAATTTCTAACAAATTAATCTTATTAAATCTTTCATGAAGCTTTTTATTGTTTATTATTATGGTTAAATGTTAATTCCAAATTTTAGTTTTATTTTCACACGTTAAAACATATATAATCGACTCAAGTTCGTTCAAACACGAGCTAGGGTTAAGTAAGTTGATAATTCATAGCATTAAGTTATGATGTAACAATACTTGGACTAGTATCCATATTAATACTTGTCACGATACCGTACACTTAAATTTATTCGAACAACCTTATTTATTTTACGAAGTAACTGCTGCTATAGGAGTCCAATGGTAAAGCTTATTTAGGCATCGCCAACAAGCTTGAATTCCTCCAATTCCTTGGAGTTGTCTGGCTTGAGCCACACCCTAGCTTCAAACACTTTATACTTCTTCTCCCTGCGGTCAACCACCTCCAGGGTAAGATAGTACATGAAACCCGACACCACTTGCTGTTTCGCATCCAGTACCTTCTTAAATTCCAGAACTAGAGCATTCTGCAATCATAAGGGAAGAAAAATAAATGAGATTTCAGACTTCGTTTCAAAATTTCAGTGTCATGAAAATCGCAGGTAATTGTAATTAATAAGATGCAAAACATAATCGGAGTTAAAGATTAACAGAATCAACACAAAAAGGGAAAAAAACCTGTTTTTTGTTGTATTCATCAACGGCGAAACGAGCGAGACCTTCAATCTCAAGGCTGTTCTCAAATCCTGGGACCGTGGTAGTTCCTCCAACGGTGGGCGTGGCGGCGGCCATTCTCACAAATAACTGAATTTTCTTGCTAAGTTTCCTTCTGGTGTGTGAATAGTTGATGGCAGTTCAAGTGATTTATGTAGAGACTGGGGAAAGAGTAAAACTTGCAATTAACCAATCAGCAAACCCGTAGAATCAAATGAAATACACATGGAACAATTTCAAAATTTGGACCATGTTATGGGATAAGATTTTTAACAAGGGGTAGGCTTTTAATATCTGTCTTAAATTCTCAAGGGTGCAAACACTAAGTTGTACTGTATATAGGACAAAAAGCTACCTTGCACCGAAGCTTTTGAAGATCAGAAGGAAGATCCTTAGAAAGCCTTGAATCTAGACTATAAACTATAAAAGAGTGAGAAATAATAAATGATTGTTAAGAAAAGTAAAACAGAGAACAAATATAGAGAAGTGATGCTATCTAACACCAGGGTAGGTAGCTTGGAAGATAAAGAGTGGCTTGGAAATACTCTAAAATAAATGTTTTCTTTGGAGGAAAACAAGTAGAAAGGTCTATAGTATGGGTGGAAAAGGCAAAATATTGCATTGTGTTTGCGCAGTTTCATTGGGAATTTTTTTAGGTTGATATTCAAATACCNTTTCATTGGGAATTTTTTTAGGTTGATATTCAAATACCATCCATTATAAATCAAATTGATTTTCTCTTATATTTAGTACGCGATCAAGGTTTTTCAAAGATAAAATGTAAGTTTAGTGTGATAAAGTCAAGGTAATATTTTTTCTATGATACTTGGGAGTTAGAGTGAACGAGAACTTCAATATAGTCATTAAAAACGCATTTGATGTCATTTTGAAAAATTATTTTTCAAAACAGAAAACTAGAAAATACGTTTGGTTTGAAATTTTGAATAATTATGTTATGACATTTTATTTCATGAAATTTGATTATTCAGTAAAAATAAAATAATTTAATGTTAATAAATTATCAAATACACAGATACAGACACAGACACACACACAAAAATTGAACCCAGGTGGAGGATAGTAATTCTAAATGAAAATAAATGCAAAATAGACAAAGAAAATCTTTGAATTTGAACAAGAATTTTATTGATAGTAATTGAAAATATAAAGAGAAACTTTTGAATCTTGCAATGAAAAGTTTATCTCCCAGTCTAAACTCTGATTACAAATGAAAATTTACATTGAATTTATAGAATGAAAAAGTAAAAAGGGAGAGGAATCTTGCATAGTTGATTTATGCCTTGATTGAACAGTACTTTATCGACTACTTTTCCAAAAGTAGGAACAATGTTTTGTCTTCATTTTCAGTCTAAAGTTTGAGGTGACAAAAGATACTTTAATAAAGTTACTTTTGATAAAGATGATGCTTTTCTTTTTCAAAAGTTATACTTTAATAAAGTTAATTATTTTTTTGTTTAATTTGATCCATACTTTTGTGCTGGCAAATCTTTGAGAGAATCAATCTTGAATGATGAATACGAAATTCTCTCAATTCATCAAGATAACTTTGACCATGTTGTCATTTAGTCTTTTGAGGTTTTTAAATTTCTTCTTCGATAGCTGCATCAAGATCAATTCCATAGCAATCATCTTCATTTAGATAATAGTCAAAATCTGCTTCTGAACTTTCTTCAGAAGAGGTTTCCTGAACTGAGGCTTTTGAAGCATTTTCAGCAAAAGAAGAAATTTTTCTGCCAAAATTGCCATTTTTTGAGGATTGGTACATTGAGTAGGAAGAGTCAAAAGTCTATTCTTTTTAGTAAGAAATTCAACATGAGCTTCTTCTTGTATATTTGAAACTCGAGGAAAGTCTTCATTCTTCTTTTGTTTGATCCAAGATTCAACTCCTTTTGGACAATAATTTGTCTCATGAAACTTAGACCACCATTTTATTTTGAAGAGTCTAACAATTCTTTTTGGAGAATATTGATCAATATTCTTTTCATTGATCTCGAAATTTTGAACCATAAAAAAGTCACAGCAAAATATCCATGAGACTTTAAAATTATGGGTAAATTGAAATAAAATACTTTCTTGAGGCGTTAAAAGAGTTTTGCCTCATTCTTGAAATGGTTAGACCCTTGAAGAGAGAGATTGGGCAAAATATTCTCTTCAAGTCCAAAGTGGTCGAATCAGGTTTGAAATCATTTTGGAAAAGTTTTT